GGCTAGTGCTTAGCCCCTGAGCTACCACGGCTCCACCAATAGGCACTGAATCAACGCAGCAGACTCATTGCTTCATAACCCTCTCAATAATGAGAACGCTTTCTTTTCTAGCTTTTATATGATATTTATGTTTGATTACAACTTACGGAATACTATCGGAGCAAATAATTCCAAGATGTAACAGACAGTGGCGTAGCGTGCTATAGACGGGCCTTGCATTCACAAAAACAAAAACGCGGGAGGACTCAAATAAAGTTAGATATTACTTTCTACAAAACGGAACAGAGAATCACGATCCTTAACTCGCTAGTTATATCTCTTCATACATGTACGTCTAGTATCGAGACTCTTGACCTTCCCCTCTTCGATTTAAAATAATTATATATTGATTACTTATAAGTATCCTTTTTTGACTTTCGTAATTTCTGAAGTGAAAACTTTTTAGGAACGATGTAATGGGTACCTCAAAAGTGAATCGTAGAATTCATATAAAAGGAATTAATCAATGCAAGAACAATATTTAATTCAAATAAACTAATTCAATTTCACGTGAAACGAAATAAAAATATATCACCAAACTTCTTGTCACTCCGGTGGCTCGTGTCCTGTTCTCTGTACGATTTCGGACCGCCATGCATTACTTCTAATCCAAAGACAATATTTTGACGTCACTTTAACACCATCAAGTCGAATCGCAATCGATAATTTTCTCAACTATACAAGAATTGACCATAGACTCTTTAGTATTAATAGAGTGATGTAAATAAATACTACCTTCAATGATATGTTTTTTTTTCTCAGGAAGTACGGCCTTAGAGTTTAAGTGAGGTTCTCGATATCATTTTACGAATATTTGCTTACACATGTCCGGGGCCCCTGTACCCGGGGGTACGCCCCTGGTAACAGATATGGCAGCTCGGATAACAGCCGGATATTGCAAGTAATCCTTCTTCATTTAGTTGTTGCTCGTCCATAAGCTACACGAAGTAAATAAAGAAATATGCATGAAAGTTAAAGGCACCACTAATCCACGCCTTACCATCTGGAGAACATTATCTTAATTGGACTGTGTATGTGTACTGGTTTGTCACCTTTACTTCTTGAAAGACGAACATAACACCACTTTTACGTCGTAGAAATTTCGCTAATGGATAAACTTGATTTTCTTCTTCAACAACCGGTGAAGTTTTTTTATTGATAGATAATAGGTAAATGCAAATTATTTTTTTTAACATTTGCTGTATAAACATACTGGCCTGAAAGAATCTGCATACTAAAGAAAATACGTAAAAAAGAAAAACTGAAGAAAAAGAAAAAAGGGAACGACTGACGCTGTTGGTTGTTTATTAATATTATATCATCGTCTCCTCGATTTCAGGTTTTATTAAAGTATTAACAGCTATAATGGGCTTCCCCCCCCCCCCCAAAGTAGGGAGAATGGGAGTAATGGGAAAAATAAATTACGAATTTGTAATTGTAATCATACGTTAGCAATGTTACGCTCCCACAAACATAGCCTAACTAATTATAACACAAGCAAACATTCAATGTGCAAAAAGGCCAAAAGGTGTATCGACGCGACGGGGCGCCACGCCATTTGAAATAGACTGTCGTTTCCTGTCCCCGTGACGTCACCCGGGTGCAAGCCCGATGCTAGTTGTGTCAACAATTTCACCACGCGGGAGTGTTATTACATCTATCTACATTCATCCTCGAATAAGTATCAAAACGCAGATGCGTTGTCACCATTGAGGACTAAGGTGGAAAGACTCGTTTCCAGTAAAAAAGGGTCTCCGGATCTAGACGTTTTATAAATGCACTTCTGGATATGCCTTTCCAAGAACGCGTACAATAACACATTTCTTTAATAATTTCTATCGGATTTCGTTTAGGTAAATTTCGTTTCGGCCGTGCCGTGTAGTCACGGTAATATTATTAAAATTACCGCGGTGTAGTGGCGCTAAGATTATCTACTGCCCCATATCATCCCGTGGGTATCCCAAGAGGCGACTGAGGAAAATTGACACAGGATATGGGCAGCAGCATCTTCCTGATATCAGGAACTTGAACTTGAACTTAAAATAGTAAAAAAATGCGGTTGACAAACCTGCAAAATGTGTCAATTATGGCAAAACCCCCCTAAAACACCCTATGGGGCAATATATGGGGGAGGCCTATGTTCAGCAGTGAACTTTTATGGGCTGTAATGGATGGAGGGATGGAAAGAGTACATGAGCCATCGTGTAAATTCTTGTAATGGGGCGAATAAACCTAGTTTGATTAATTCCTCAATAAAACTTACACATTTACCGCTAAAAATGAACCTGTTGTCTCAGAGTCAATACAAGGAGCTTATGAAAGTATTGAAGTGAAAAAGTTGTGAATTGAGTTTTAAAAATAAGTTGTTGACAGCCTCTTTTACTTATAACACCTATTATTGTAATATTTCATATATTCTTCATGACAAAGTTACAATAGACGTATTCATTCAGTCAATCTGCCATTAGTTATTTTGTCAATTCATATAGCAGTGTAAACGAAAAGAATTAATGTTATTAATTTTAATGTATTTATAACAAATATATATAAAGTTTTGGCTTTCTGCAGTAATTCTGCATATAAATTTAACTAAGTTTTTTTTGAATTAGTATATAAACTAAATTAATTCGACAGTTTTTTTCGTGTTCGTTACGTGTTACAAAAGTGTTAAGGCGAAATGTAACCTCAAATGGCTTAGCAAGATCCTCCGTTATGCCGAAAATATTGCAGCATTAATTTTGAAATAAATATATGGTAAAGTTGAGGATTAATGTTAAGGACTATGTTAGACGAAAACACGATTCCGTAAAATTTTCTCGATAGAAAAAAAAATCCAAAGTTACCTCCAAAATAAACAATAAATCGCTGTTATTCATAAAATACTTTAAATAAGATCATGAAACTTTGCATACTAACTGAACTAACTATAAAGTAGTGCTTATGTTATTTACTTTTTTTAAAATACCATTATTTTCACTGTAAAAAGAAATTACCTAAACTATCGGCTTCTTGAAGCTTGATTCCTGCCGCCCGGTCTGTTTCGCTTCGGCCTTTGAAGGGGGAGGTTGTGTCGCTTACGATCAGAATACACATTACGCAACAGGACGACGTAACATTAAAATGGGAAATAACCGTAATAGAAGCGACTAGATTGGCGCTGAGAAACAGGCATAAATATGATAAACCTAATGAAATAAGTATATAACGACCTATCTACTTACAGTATTAGTGATTACAAACATGTCGGTACATAGCATACGACGCGCGGGGAAGTAGGGGCGAAATTAGAATTTGAGCTGACTTACTATATCCTCTTAACTTCTATTAATCCGGAATTTTAAGTTCGTCCATGTGGTTATACTAGCATGGGCTTTGTTTATCTTGACTAGCGATCGCTTGCAGCAGCGCGCGCGCTCCTTAAAAAAAAACAAATAATTAAAATTTTATTCGAATATATACTCTATACAAATTACTTTTCACAATAGGTACTTTATACCTAATTAACTTTAGTGTGTTTAAATCAAATTAAAAGTAATGATTATCCTAACCTAAAACTGTTCCATTGCTGGTTCCTAATTTATGGGAGTCTGTTTAGTGCTTAGTGTCCGCCACGTTGATTCTAAGCACTTGTTAAAAAGTCTTGCATCTTTATTCAAATCGAGTCCTAAGAAAGGGCAAGTCCAACGGTGGACTGAGACACCGAGATCAATAGAATATATAGAACAGAACACTGTTGCAAACATTATTTAATTTGTGCCCGTTATTTAATTTGACTTTGTATGTGAACACGATGGTACTTGGATGCTGCTGACCGATTCAGGAGCAATATCATCATCTTCTTATTTTTTATCTTCATTATTAGCCCATTCTTCTTTACCATTGATATAAGCCTTTCCAAAAGTGTCCTACGGCGTGCATTTATTTAAAGAGCGGGACATAATCGCAATAAATATGCAGAAACAAAAGACAAAAAAAAACATATTGAAGCAAAACATATCCAGGACATATGCCTCCAACGTGCCTTCGTACAGCGTGATGGATTTATTTTGCTTTCATTCTTTGTAACTTTCACGCTGCGCTGGGCATACGAGTCCATTCGATAGAATAAGATCCTGTATTTATTTATTTAAAATTTTTATTGCATTTAAAATATACAACTGTATTTTTAAATGAATTTTAATTATCTTTCCATTATAGTCCCAATAAGAGTTTCTATTTAACCATTTCACTGGCCCGTGAGTCATACTTATATAATATGCACATTTTCATTAATTATTTCTTGATTAAAACTACTTTTACGGATTTTATCGCGTTTTATTTATATTAATTTTAATACCCGACGTTTCGGGTGCTTTCCAGCACCCATGGTCACGGGGGACTGAGGTGACTGACGTCCCGATGTCAAAGTTAACCCGGAGTACCTTCAGCTTTTTAATTATTGTCTTTGGTCCGATCTACGCAGAATGAACTAACTGTATTTTGAAGTCTTGCAGTGGTATGCTTGGGTTTAGTTTTAATTTTATTAATTATAGGATCCCAAGCAGGTGGTAGTACCCAGCCTCCTTCTCTATTGAAATTAGGATGTTTTTTTAATTTCAATAGCCTCACGTATCATCCTTGGTAGGAATCGATGTTCTTTCGCGAGGATTTGTGGTCTATCAAATCTGATGTAATCGTTGGGGCCATCTAGAATATGATCGCAAACTGCAGACTTCCCGGAACGGGAAAGCACCCGAAACGTCGGGTATTAAAATTAATATAAATAAAACGCGATAAAATCCGTAGAAGTAGTTTTAATCAATGTATAGTGTTCGCGTAAATATAGTCATCATCATCATGTCAATTCATCATCATTTCAATGTCATCATCATCTTCATTAATTATTCCTTTTATCTCTCGCGGACATAGAAATTGTTAAATCTATTATAAGTAATACTCATCTTGTTCTCTTTTTCTTTCAGAGTGGCGACTAACACTCCGCACCTGGTGAGCCTCGGCACCGGCCGCTTGAGCACTGCTGTCACCTTACATCCGATCAAGCAAGGTAAAGTTAAAAATAAGTTAAACAAAAACCTCTGGAATTAGAAATAGTAAGTTAAAATTTTTACTGGAAACGAGGTACTCCAATTTAGCTCTTAGGTGTGACAACGCATTTCCATTCTTTACTGACGATGAATGTAGATTTGTTGTGAAATGTATCTATGTGAACTGGCCCCACGATATAAGAGAAAATCTTAGTGTGGAGGTGACGTTTTTAAAATTACAAAAAATAAGGAAAGAAATGAATGAAAATTACAGAAAAGAAGGAAAGAAAATATTGAAGAAACTAGCCAACGTGGCACTTTCGAAGTTGGTCACCGTCACGAGCATCGGTATTTATCTGGTTTCAAAAACTTTAAATTTTTAAAAAAACGAGCACACAGTCTACCTGATGGTCAATGTATGTTGTCACCTCTGAGGACCAAAATGGAACGCCTCATTACCAGTAAAAAGAGTCATTTAATTTTAACTTTTATAATTCCCGAAAAAGTCAGAATTAAACGCGATAATATTAGCTTTTCTTCATAAACAAAATTGTTTACAGGTCGAGTAACAATCGGCTCGGACCCGACATGCGACATCTACGTAGTGGGCACGGGTGTTGCCAGCGTGCATTGCCGCGTGGAGAATTCCCACGGCGTGGTCACATTGTACCCCGTCAGTGGGAGCACGCTGTTGGACGGGCTGCCGGTAGATAAGGCCACCAGGTTGTCTCAGGGTAAGTAAATTTGAAAGTGCGAGTGTTATCCCTAACTGTTGCCAAATCTAATGCTCTGAGGAATTGTTCGGATTAATTCCAAAAATTTCACGAACGCACATCGCGAAAAACTTACGACACCATCCACATCATCTGGATGCTTGGCGATTCATCACCGTACGTTTTGCTAGGAGTTTTCTTCTTCGTACGACCCCTCTGTGAAATCGTTTACCATCGACGAATTTTCCGGACCGATACGACTTATAGACCTTCAAGCAAAGAGCTTACTGTTTTCGAAAAGGCCGGCAACACACCTGCAATTCCCCTAGTGTTGTAGTTGTTCATGGGCGGCGATAGTCACTAACCATTAGGGGAGCCGCATGCTAGTTTACCCCCATTTACTTATTCCGTTGGCGCTACAACCCTTTGTGGGTCTTGGCCTCCTCCACAATCTTCCTCCAGTTGTCACGCTGCCTGGCACCTTCTTCCAGCTGGTAAACTTTCCCATCTTCCTGAGATCCTCTTCCACACAGTCACTCCAACGCTTTTTAGGCCTGCCTTTCGGTCTCTTGCGGCGTCCACTGTGTCATTATTTTTACGGCTCTTGTGTCCGACATTCTTTCAAGGTGACCCACCCACCTCAGTCGCTGCGACTTACAGAACCTGACGATGTTCTTGTGCCCGATAAGTGCGTCCAGTTCATGGTTCATGCGTTGACGATAGATACCGTCACGCTCTTTTATGGGGCCATAGATTTTTCTCAGCATTTTCCTTTCGAACACGGTTCGTCTCTCTGGGTTAAAGTCCAGGTTTCACAGGCGTAAGTCACAACAGGCCTAGGCCAGGCTAGTTTACCCCCACTTCTATTGAAAAAAAATCGACGGCGGCCAGGGTGAGAAAGCATGCCGAATATAAGCATCTGAAGCATCTGTTCACGTGGAAATACCAGCCATCAGGTGCTTAAGAATTCTAACGTGTATTAATGTAACGATCCACACGGAATACTGCCGCGATATACTAGCATAATGCTACAGTGTAATGTAAGTGTAGAGAAGTGAAGACCTCTCCCACACTTGTATATAATATAAGCCGCAGCTTCTATTTACCGTAAGAAGGACTGTGTGCTCGCTTTTTACTCTAACTGGTGTTCATAGATTGCAGTGGCCACTTACCATCAGGTGGACTGTAAGTTATTTGTCTCTTCCAAGGTTATATTCGCTATATTGTGGTGGACAGAATACTAGCGTAAAATAGCAGCTTAAAAATGCTGTGTTTCGTATGATGAGTGTAGAGATCCGGAGACGCTTTTTTACTGGAATCGAGGCATTCCATCTTTGTCCTCAGGGGTGACAACGCATCTGCGTTTTGATTCTTAATTGAGGATAAACCTAAATGTCTATAGGGCCACAGCATCCACTTACCATCAGGAGAACTGTGTGCTCAGTTGTCACCCTTATTCTATAAAAGAAGTTATAACGTAAAAGCGAATAATTTATAAACCTAAATCTTTACACAAGTGTTCCTTGTGAGTGTAACCTTGTAAGTGTTCTATAAACGTCACTCCATCCATTACAACTTAGAGGTCCACTGCTGAACCTAAGCCTCCCCTTAAATTGGCTCATAGGCGGGTTGGCAACCGCAGCTTTTATTTTTTAGTTTGGAAGTTTGTGGGAAGACGCTTCTGCCCATCTCCTGGTTTGATTCCGACTGTCGCCTCTTACGACATCAACGTCGTTCATATGGCGTAGTCGATATTCTTACACCGCCACGTCACACGCCACTACTAAATTCTCACACATATAGGCTGTCCTACCTTGGCTGATAAACTTGATATTAGTTATCACTAATTTCTGGTCACTCTGTCTGATGGCTACTGCATCCTATGAACATCTTTTACTTACATCAAAGAAAGTCAGCCCCTGACTTTTGTCTCCTCTGACTTTTGTCACTCTGTCTGATGGCTACTGCTAGCCTATGAACATCTTTTACTTACATCAAAGAAAGTCAGCCCCTGACTTTTGTCTCCTCTGACTTTTGTCACTCTGTCTGATGGCTACTGCAGCCTATGAACATCTTTTACTTACATCAAAGAAAGTCAGCCCCTGACTTTTGTCTCCTCTGACTTTTGTCACTCTGTCTGATGGCTACTGCAGCCTATGAACATCTTTTACTTACATCAAAGAAAGTCAGCCCCTGACTTTTGTCTCCTCTGACTTTTGTCACTCTGTCTGATGGCTACTGCAGCCTATGAACATCTTTTACTTACATCAAAGAAAGTCAGCCCCTGACTTTTGTCTCCTCTGACTTTTGTCACTCTGTCTGATGGCTACTGCAGCCTATGAACATCTTTTACTTACATCAAAGAAAGTCAGCCCCTGACTTTTGTCTCCTCTGACTTTTGTCACTCTGTCTGATGGCTACTGCAGCCTATGAACATCTTTTACTTACATCAAAGAAAGTCAGCCCCTGACTTTTGTCTCCTCTGACTTTTGTCACTCTGTCTGATGGCTACTGCAGCCTATGAACATCTTTTACTTACATCAAAGAAAGTCAGCCCCTGACTTTTGTCTCCTCTGACTTTTGTCACTCTGTCTGATGGCTACTGCAGCCTATGAACATCTTTTACTTACATCAAAGAAAGTCAGCCCCTGACTTTTGTCTCCTCTGACTTTTGTCACTCTGTCTGATGGCTACTGCAGCCTATGAACATCTTTTACTTACATCAAAGAAAGTCAGCCCCTGACTTTTGTCTCCTCTGACTTTTTGTCACCCCTGAGCACTAATTCTCATATCCTATAATTATCGTGGTTCTTTTACCTTTTACACCGGAACACACCAATTAGTGCACTTCTGTTTGCATGCTGCCACATACCTCTCGCAAAGCACGCCACAAAGGCTCTAGCTACCTGTCTCCATCTACTTCCTGTATCTCTTATCGGGTTCTCACTTTATCTAGTGGGAGGCCGCCCTACACTTCGCTTACCGGCACAAGACTTCCACTCCCATAATCTTTTCTTCCTCATCGGTTATCGGTTCTTCGAGCTATATTACCACTTCAGCTTATTGATCCGTTTAAAGGAGCCCTACCGACTTCTAAATATTTATTTTCTGGCTGTACTACGTCACGATAATATATTGAAAGGGGACTAGCAAATATGTTTTTTTTTAAATCGCACGTTCACATGTATACATTTATTACAAGTGTAAACTATTAATAAATGGACGAGACGTCTTTCTTACGTAAGTTATTAGTGAAACGAATTGGGGGTTGCAATTTTAGTTTCTTTGTATTTTAAATTTTGTACGTAATTAAGGTTTGAAAAGCTATAACGAAGTCCAAATAGGAAGTTATTATACTGTTTAAAATTTAGATTAATTTTGCCCTCATTTTCATGATTAACCATGCAAATCCTACTTCGTTTATAGCAATACTATTCCCCGCGACTTCGTCCGCGTGAAATTTTTTAGGGTTGAATTTCATGAGTTTTGTTTTTTTACGCGAAACCCTGTTTTTCTAAAATAAAAGTAACCTAAGTAACTCCTTATAACATCAGCTATCTGTCAGCGAAAGTCTCGACAAAATCTGTCCAACCATTTCGGAGATTAGCCGGTACAAACAGACAGATAGACAGAAATCCAAAAATTTTAAAAATCGGCTTTTCGTTTTAAGTACCATATATACTTTAATATGCATTTAGTAAAGATATTGTTTTGTCATTACAAACAGACACTTCAATTTTATTTTATTTGTATAGATAATAACAATTCTGCCTTTTTTTTCCAGGCAGTATGCTAACGATTGGTCGGTCCAACTATCTGCGCTTCAATCACCCAGAAGAGGCTAAGCTAATGAAGTCAGTGCTACCGTCGGGACACGTGTCCATGGCGCCAATACAGTTTCAACCTAATGAACAGTGTCTGCCAGCTGGTGAGTTTATAAACACTGTACAACTCGCGGCCCGAAAGTTTAGAGGTGACCGTTATTGTGCATAATTGGGCGTATTGTGCATTATTGCGTATGATTGGCTGAGCGTATCGTTCGCACGCGCTAATTAGCTCTTTGGGCGCATTCCGTCCCCCGTACTGATACGACATTCGCAGCTGTCTCTTCCACGTTTCGTTCAGCGCTAGAGTTACGTGCCGCGAGTTGTAGTTATACGATTTTGAAATATTCGTGTTCCAGGCCAAAATAACCAAAAGGAAATACTATACATATAAGATTGCCTTTTTAGGGGGATATTCGCCATAATTGCCAAACTGGGCAGGTGGTTTCTTACGTGTTAGAGCCATTCTGCAGCTACATTAGTAGTATAGTTGTAGCACGTATTGATCGGCTCGACCGGGAAAGGATCACCCTCTCACAGAATACCAGCGTAGAATGGCGGCTTGACGCTGCTGTTTTTCATATGGTGATTGTAAAGACCCGGAGACCATTTTTACTGGGAACAAGGTATTCCATCTTGGTCCTCACGGGTTATAACGCATCTGCATTTTGATTCATAATAATCTAGGATGGATGCAGATATCTATGAGCCACAGCGTGGCTCACAGCACACAGTTGCGCCTTTATCGCCCTTATCCTATAAAAAAACTGCAGCTATATATTTTCTAGTTGTTATGAGGAAGACATTGCTGCAAATCACCTGAGTCATTTTCCTCTGTCACCCCTAACGACACCTTTGGGAATGTAGATATTCTTACACCGCCACTGCTCATTTAAATTTGGGTGAGAAAATGTATTAACAATCTAGAAGAAGAAGATTCTTTTAAATGGTAGAGCCATGCTGCAGGTATACCTATTATGGATGCAGCACGAATGGATCAGCTCGAACGGGGAAGGACCACGCTCTCACGGAATAAACAGCTTAATGCTGCGTGTTTCGTACGGTAAGAGTAGAAAACCGGAGACCCTTTTACTTATAACTATTCATTCTATCTTAGTCCTCAAAAGTAACAATACATTTTGTAGTGAGAGGTTTCTGGTAGAGCGACTGGTAGTTAATCTGCCAAGGGTGGCGATGGTGACAAATCGCTCCTATTTTGGGACAGGTCATGTCCAGCAGTGGACAGTTACGGGTTGATGATGATGAAGGCGTAAAGTATTTTTTATGGAAAAATTACGCCAAAAGAGCACATACTTCATCTGATGTTAATTGGATGCTGTGGCCCATAGACAACTTACATCTATCTAGGGAATCAAAATGCACCGCTGGGAACTTATATAGATGCCCCATTAGGGCCGATCCTCATTTGCCGTTCACAGTTCGTTCTCGGTCTGATTTATTATAATGTAATGGGATTCGCATACACACATATTTTTTACTTGATAATATTTTATCAGACCGAGATCGGACCGAGAACGAACTGTGAACGGCATTATAATGAAGATCGGTCCTTAGAATGCTTATGAGACTATCTATGGTACGTCTATGTTCAACAGCAGACATTGATAGGCTATGATGAATGAATGAACCAGAACGTGGGGAAACGAGCAACGACCCTGAACATTCCTTGTGATGATTGGTCCGACACGACAGTCGATCGCCAACGACTATACGATTTGATAACAAGATCTAGTTTTGTTAAACTTTTTGTTCCACAGGCTACGTCAACCACCATCCAGAAACAACTCAATGTTACCAAACCACAAACATCCAAAAAATCTACAAAGACACCTCGCTATCCCAATTGGACCAAGAATTAGACATGACGCTGAGAGAGATGTCGAGAATAAAGCCGCCAGTCGCCCCGAAAAAACCCTTCAGAGACTTCGACCAGTCCGACTCAAACTCCGATCAGGAATCACGGCCAAAAATGTCCGGGATCATGGCAAAAGTGTCCAAGTTCGAATACTACGCCAAACAGCAGAAATGCGTCGGCAGAAGTCAATTCTACACGACGAACGAAAACGAAATCTCGCCAAAAGTTTTCAGCGCAAACTCTTTAACAGTGAACACTCCAGCCAAGGACGTACTTGGCGGCAAAGCGATGCCAAACTACATGACCAAGTTCAAGCACGAACAGAAAATGATCGTACTCAACGAAAACAACAGCATCGATGCCAGGAACTGTTCGTACGCGAACGTCGCCGTAAGAAACAAGACTAAAATAGACGATATCGTTAGAAATTTCGACGACTCTAGAAATGAATTCAACAAACTGCCTAAGAAAATTAATAATGATCAAATGAAAACTGAGAATGTTTACGGGAGAATTAATATTAAAGAGACAAATTGCGACATGAAAAATAATTTGGAGGTAAAACAGAGCAATTTGGAACACCGAGGTGAAGTTCTAGAACATTCTAGAGAGCATGGAAATGACAGGATTAAGGGGATTGGTTTGCCGTCGTCAGCTTATGACAGGAATCCACAGTATTCACCGGTATACGCAAACTATCAGTACGATAGGGGCATAGAGGCCGAAAATATGAGAAAAAAGGTACGTAGATTATAATTTTCTATATATTTTTTATTATAAGTTAAAACTATATTAAACTTTTAATAGACAATACTAGTAATGAATAAGTCGTGGTTTAACATTTCTTTGTATTAAACACTGTACTTTTTTAAATAAACAATCAAGCACACCGTCCAGACAATGAAAAAGGTTATGGATAGCGATAGCTACGAGGCCTATACATTACAACCAGCATGCTTACCGCAGGGTTAAATCTGTGGAAACTGCCTTGATCAGTGTTATTGACAGGTTCGAAAAAGCGCTGGCGGATAAAGAAATAGCTTTTTGTGGCTTTCTAGATATTGAAGGTGCATTCGATAGTAACCCCACATCAATGCTGATTGGCTTGACATCTAAAAATGTTGACCCCACAAACATCAGGTAGGTGAGGTCGATACTCTCAAACAGAAAGGCAAAAATAGCGCCTCAAACTTCGATTGAGGTTGCATCTACAAAAGGCTACACAAGGAGGTGTTTTGTCACCCCTTCTTTTGACTTTTGTGGTTGACGAACTATTGGACAAGATGGCAGACCTTCGCATTGACTCACTAGGTTATGCTGATGACTTTGTGATCATTGGGAGGATCTTTTGTCAAAGTACTTTATCATTAATCATACAAAGAGCCCTAAACACCATAAATAATTTGTTTAGGGATAACAGTTTATCAGTTAACGCTGATAAAACTGTTATAATACCATTTACCAAAAAGAGACGGTTGGAAAAATTAGTCACGCTAAAACTCAACGGTAAAGAAGTACCATTCTCTACTGAAGTCAAGTACTTCGACGTAATAATCGACCAAAAACTAACGTGGAACTCTCACCTTAGCAACGTATGTCATAAGACAAAAATTGCTTTTGGTAGGTGCGTGCAGTTGTTTGGTCGGAAACAACAAGTCACGTCGACTGCGGACAGACCAAATACGCCTAAAAACGCCCCTTAATCTTTTTCTTTTTATCTTTTTTGGAGGCGAGGGCTAGTTTGTATAGGATTAACGCCCAGAGCAGTTTCAGCTTACTTTCCTATAGATTGAGATCCATGCTCGACTCAATTAAGGAAACAGCGGTCTTATGCATGATCTCAGATATTATGCGTCCACTATACAATGTTAACAAAAAGTATACAGTGGAACTATCCTCCAGAGAAGGCTAGCTGAATGGCCAGGTCATGTGTGAGGTCGGTAGCCTTATATGGGTCAAAAATGGGCCCCGACGTAGGCTTTGGAATCTATGGGCAACGCCCCAAATTCAAACTTAGTATGAATTTAAGTAGATTCACTTCTATCTTTCAGGCTCTCTTCGCCATACTTCGGTTTGCGAAAACCAATCTGCAAAAATACTGCGTCAACAATATAATCTATATAAACTCTGATAGTCAAGCGGCACTGCTAGCGCTGAGGTCAAACTTGGTGAACTTAAAGCTATTTTTAGACTGCTGTCTAAACGCTCTGGGATGTAACAACAGAGTCGTTCTAAGATGAGTTCCGGGGCACGCGGGTATTGTAGGCAATGAACTTGCCAACAAGCTTGCACGGGAGGGCTCAATCATCCAGGTGAATCGCGCGTGTATCTGTGGTTATGACAGAATCATCAGCGCAGCAGGTTACCCTGCAGCATTACGCTGAGTCATAACCTTTTCACTGGCTCGATATCACGCCCAATCACTCGTAATATTAATCTGTCCATACTTTTAACTATTTATTTTTGTGATGTGTACAGTTTCAGTGAATAAATGTCTTTCTTTCTTTTCTTTGAAAGAGTAGACAATTTGGACCCAAGCCATTTTGTGGAATCTCAAAGAGCCTGGCCCGATTGACCCTTGAAACTTTTTATCACAACAAATCACTTAAGATCTGGTCTGACACCCAAGGCTTAAAACTTTCTAAAACCTGAATTTGGGCTTTTGATCGTAAATTCGCTTCAAAGCCCTAGAATTATGTAAAAATAAATTTCGCATTCTGGCAAGAGCCCTGACTGGACAATTTTGTCTTAAAACGCACAGGTACATCCTGGGACTAAGCAACTCAAGGATGCCCCGGATTTGTTCTTTAACGGAAGAAACGCCTCTGCACATCTTCGAGCAGACCCTTAATGCGCAAACGCGACACTCACATCTGGAAAACTATGTACTCCTCCCAGAAGAAGTGAAATTGCTCACAGTTAAGCAACTCCTTCTATTCATTGAAGACGTAGGGCTTAGCAGAACTACAGCCATTGCAGTGAGCACAATATATCTTTTAGGTCGCAACTGAAAAAAAACCACACAGTCTACCCGATGGCAAGTGGATACCGTGATCTATAGACATCCACATCTTCCTCGATTAACAATCAAAATGCGTTGTCACGCCTGGGGACTAAGGTGGAATGCCTTGTATCCAGTAAAAACTTCTTCTTCTCAGAGGTCAGAGGTCTTCGGTTCTCTACACTCACCATACGAAATACAGCAGCATTGAATTGCTATTTCACACCAGTATTCTGTGAGAGCGTGGCACTTCCCCGGTCGAGCCGACCCATTCGATTCTGCTGCGTGGCTGACTCACGTATAATATTATTTTCAATAATGTATTATAACTGGCTAGATAAGTGATTGATAAAAGTGAATCCATCACCCCACTTCGATATATCAGCACGATATAAAAATTATTATATGTATTATCATTTAGTTACTTGATTTACGCACCTAAGATCAATAAGGAAAGAACGGAGCGCTGCTTACATTTCAAGTGACGGATAAACCAAGCCAAAACCACCTGTGCAACTATTTTTCGGGCTCTTAAAGAAAAACGAAAGATGTATGCGTGAGTGCGTGTCAAGAAGTGGCCTTTGTATAGTTAGATACCTACACACAAGACACCTAACTACGTCCTCTCCCTATCCATATTCATTACCATAGTCTTGTAATTTGGTACTTTGTAATAGTTTTAGACCGCTACAAAATAGTTTGAATTTATTATTCATTATCTAAATCAGAAATAATCTAAATTTAAATAAAAATGATAAGTGATAAAATTAAAATTGAAATAAAGGAAACAATGCTATCTCGAGATAAAGATTGACGTAATAATAATTATACTGCGGCGTTTCATTGCGACAAGTGGCAGTAGGCTGTTGAATCTTTGCCGTGATAGAGATAAATCAAAAAGTGACGTTGTTCTGCGATTTTAAAAAGTAAAACAATTATTTGAAGCTGGCCACAATCATGAGTCAGTAGCCGTGAATAAAAGAAAGCGCCTAGATAAAATAAAAATAAAGATAAATACAGTGTTAGTCGGTTTTCACATTTTGTAAAAGTGATAAAATTATGTAACTTGAATTATAAGAATGAAGTTTTTGTTAAAAGACAATGTTTTAAATATGTGAAACAATTAAATAAAATAAATATGACCACCATAAATGAGACACTAAAATGGTATTAAAACCCTGCGGTATTTAAAAAAATTATAAACCCCAAAACTGTATTCAAAATGACACTAAAAACAACACAAACAGCAGAGAAAAAAACAATCTCGCACAAACGACTTTTAAAAGTGTTTGTTAAAAGCTTAAAACAAAATACGTTAGCGCTAAAGGAATTAAAATTCTCAATGGACGCAAAGCGCAAAGCGCAAACTGAAAACGACAAAATGCTCGAATTGACGAACTCGATAAACGAAAAATTGGAAATAGTTCACAAACTTCGTAACGATATCAAAATTTATCGAACCATCAACACCATCCTCACGAACCATTATATTAAAGAGACCAGAGATCACGAAAATACAATAGACAGTAAAATAATTCGATTGGAGAAACAGATAAAGCAATCGTACGACGATTTAAGAGCGGATATTATGAAAATCGCGGAAGTGAATAGTGTCGCCAGTGATACGAAAATTCCCGCTGCGATACAAAATAGCGATGTTTTTGTGTTTAGAAATAATTTGAAATATAACGAATTTTATATCAGGAATGAGATATACAATAATATTATTCGAAAGATTGATAAACTATTTTGTGGTATGGTAAGTTAAGGGAAATTGCCCTTATTTCACATTTTAGTATTTGTAACTGTGATTTAGTATTTTTAAATGTTTTACAAAAATTATTACGAAAGTATGACAATAAGGAAATATTTAGAAGACTTGTAAAATCAAACTTAAATAAAGTAGCAGGTTTCCTTTGGCTCTGCACTCTTTAGTAATAGAAGGAAACCCACATCTTTAAGATAACCTTACTTCACATTTACGCCCTTATTTCACATTTTAGTATCTGTAACTGTGATTTAGTATTTTTAAATGTTTTACGAAAATTATTACGAAAGTATGACAATAAGGAAATATTTAGAAGACTTGTAAAATCAAACTTAAATATTGTAGCAGGCTTTTTTTGGCTCTTTACTCTTTAGTAATAGAAGGAAACCCACATCTTTAAGATAAACTTCTTCACATACGAAAGGAAGAAAGGTATAAAGCGTAGACAGAGAAACCTATAGACAAATTGACGCCTTCTTTCTCATTCGCACACGAAAAAGATAGATTTATGCATATGTCTTGCATAGAAATGAGACAGAGCGGTGTGATTGTTTGTCCCTTTTTTTTGTTTAGCAAACTACACTTTGACAGTTCGTAACGATCCAAGGAGTTTACAAGTTGGTTTAAGTGAGAAAAAAGTGTTTTGTGAGCTTAAGATTGGTGAATCTTGTTCAGTTCAGTTCTTAGAACAATTAAAATTTTTATCTAAATATTTTTAAGTCATAAAGATCATTGTATAACCTAAAACTACGTTATAGTTAATCATTAGTCTATAGGTTTCTCTGTCTACGGAATAAAGCCTTTTGAAGAGTAAGCTATGCTAATAATAAGAAAAATAGAGAAAATATTTGTTTAGCTGATAATTCACTATTTATTCTTATTTCTTATCTATTGCTTCAAATATTTAAAATTAAAATAGAAACACCTTCACGGTGCATGGCCATAGAAGTTAGTATCTACACTCTTAATATGACATCGTGTGGTGGCGAATTTTTTAAAAATAATTAAAAGACAAACGAACTAGCAGTCCTACTGATGGTAAATGGAGACTAATCACTTAAAAGAGATCCCTTGTCAACTCATACTCACTCTCAAGAAATATTCTTACCCTTCGTACCGATCACATCAAGGAGTGCGTTGTTGCTTAGTAACAAAAATACGGGGTTATTGAAAATATTTATACGTGGTAGAGCCATGCTGTAGCTATATTATAGTTGTAGCACGAATGGGTCGGCTCGACCGGGGCAGGACCACGCTCTCACAGAATACCAGCGTAAAATAGCAGCTTGATACTGCTGTGTTTCGTATGGTGAGTGTAGAGATCCGGAGACACTTTTTTACTGGAAACGAGGCATTCCATCTTAGTCCTCATGGGTGACAACGCATCTGCGTTTTTATTCTTAATCGAGGATACATGTATATCTCTATAGGCCACAGCATCCACTTACCATCAGGTGGACTGTGTGCTCGTTTGTCACCCTTATTTTATATTTTTTTAAAAACCCTACTTAAGCCCCCATATAATTTATAATTATGATTTTCGAATCTGAACTTCTTTCCTCCTGGACTCTTCATTCGACCTGATAAAAGGTTTAGCCCAACCAATTTTACTTAACAACTTTCCCAATGTATCTTGATTTTCGAATCTGAACTTCTTTCCTCCTGGACTCTTCATTCGACCTGATAAAAGGTTTAATTAGAAACCTTTTCAATACCTCTCGAAGTCTTTTACTTAACGTAGGCCTTCCCAATGTATCTTGATTTTCAAATCTGAACGTCTTATCTCCCGGACTCTTCATTTGACCTGATAAAAGGTTTAATTAGAAACCATTTCAATACAACCTCTCGAAGTCTATCACTCAACCGAATGTACCTCTCATAAGAATTTTATTTACTTGCACGCTTAGCAGCCGGGTTGTCGAACGCATTTTTTACCATCTAGTTTTTGATAGGAAAATGCTGCTCGCCGTCTCCTGGTTTACCATCTATCGCCTCTTACGACACCCACGGGACGATATGGGTCGTGGGTGTTCTTACATCGTCATTACACCACTTACGAATAAATCCTTGAGTACAGGTATAATACTTGCGTCACACGTATTTTATAAATCAAAACGCAATGCCCTAAAAATTAATCACTATAATCGTCATTCGATAGCAATGCGGAGACGTTTGTTGATAAAGTTAAGATTATGTATATTGGGTTAATTTTTTTTGGATTTATTTACACACAACAAGACGCAGAAGCGATACATAAGCATAAAAATATAAATAAGCATACAGTGAGCTCGTATAATAAAGGTTGGTTGCTCCCCCTGGTCACGGGGGGGGGGGGTGCTAGGAGTAAATATAAACCCTCAATCATTGGAAATGCCGGATTGTTTATTATTTACTTAATTTATATTTACTAATTAATAAAAATACTAATATTATATTTTTATTAATTTCAATTATGAAAGAATGTTATACAGATGTATAACATTCTTTCATATTTGGCTACTGATTAACTCATTTGTACTTCTATTTCAGGCTTACCAGGATAGAATAAAAGAAGAGCAGCAGAAAGAAGCCGAAACGGCGCGATTAGAGGAGATCCTCAACATGTGCGCGGAGTATGAACGGCAAATTGCCACAGGTAACTAATAATTTTTTTTTAAATCAATTGCAAGGAACAATGAGTGGTTACACAAATGGGTCCTGCTCATGGACACCTAGGACTCTATGCTTGTTTCCGTACATCTATTAAGTAACTTCTAATAAAGTAGGCCATAAATGCATTGTTACCTTTGAGAACTTAGATGACACCAACCCGTTTTTTTTTTTAATAAAAGTGTGAGAGACAAACAAGGCATTCCATCTTAGTCCTTAAGGGTGTCAACGCAATCTTCGTTTAGATCCTTAATCGAGTATAAATGTAGATGTCTGTGTGCCACAGCATCCACTTACCATCAGGTAGACTGTGTACTCGTTTGTCACCCTTATTCTTAAAAAAGGCCTTTTGATAGTAACCGTGTGCTGTGTCCGTAGATTCCTACGTTTATCCTTTTGACTGCCACGTTGGCTCTAGGGTTGTAGTAGTGCGACTGCTGATCATGAGGTCCTGGATTCGGGATTCCCGAAGGTCGGGCCAAAAAAATCAATTATTGAGTTTTTCCGTCAAGAAATTCTCAGTAGCTGCCCGGAGTCAGGAAGTTGGCGGTGTCTCACCCCCGTGCCTCGGAGTGCACGTAAAGCCGTTGGTCCTGCGCCTGATCTCTCTGCGGTCGTGTCGGTTTTCCGTCTGATCGGATTATGAGAGTGAGGGAGTAGAGAGTGCACCTGTGCTTGCTCATACACTTGGGCACTATTATCCTGTCCTGTGCCGACGGCTAGACTCCGTTGAGGCAGGCCACCGTGGCCGAAATTCGGTCTGGAGGACATTATTATTATTATTACGTTTATCCTCGATTGAAAAGAAAAGTTTAGATGCATAATCACCCTTGATGACTTGAAATGCCTCGTAATTAGTGCAAAAGGTCTTCGGCTCTACAATTACCGTACAAAGAGCAGTGTTTATTTATTTATTTAGATAAATACACTATCGACAATATCAATAAACATTGTTACAATCAAAATACTACATTTTAGATAAATGATATGGCTTTACAGGTGTATACATCATGTTATGCTGCTATGTTACACTTGTATCAAAATACAAACGTGTTATTTTCCCGGTCGCGCCGATACATTCGTGTTTGATTCTGATATGCGCGCTCAGGTGTCTGATTTGCCCGAAGTGTGAACCGGACTGTTGTTTTTTAAATAAAGCATCACTCCATACTTAGTTTTTCTCATGCATATATTACACAAGGACAAACGTCCACACTCATAACAATTATTTTAGGTCGTACAAATACTTGTTCCGTGAGGGATTCAAACCTCTCGGTCCTCAGCAACTCAATAGTCAAACTACAGTTTCAGCAGACAGAGGCCGGTTCATTTCGTTGAGATTAAAAAAAATCTTATTTTATATTTTGTAAAAATAATTGTGTTGTTTTCTAAATTATTGGTTTATTTTAAAAACTTTATTGCGCTCCCTTAGAAAAAAGAGTGCAAAAGTCGGTGTTACGGACCTCAGTTGCCCCGACAGAAGTCGACTGGGCTAGGGCCCATCAGTAACCCAACTCGACGGGCAACAGAGGGTTCGGGCCCAAATGGCCTATGGATAATTATTATGTAATGGCTGGATAAGCAAACATAAACTTACCGAGTTCCGGAGGTAGAGTCGACCATAACGTACCGTCAGGGGCAAGTAAATGGTGGGTGTGAGTGGTGTAGGAAGGTGTGTAATGTAACCTGACGTCACCGATGTAATCGGCCAGCAGACCCACATGCGTTGCCCTGCTCCCTGGCGCAATCACTCCAGTGGGCTTTCACCGTTATCTGAACTAAAGTCTAACGTCACTTAGCACAAAACTATAATCGAAGAGGAACGCGATCTCCTCCCGGATCACAAAGTTTAGCGTTCCACCCGACAAACCAAAGTTCCTTAGTACGATATTAACCTGTTAACCAAGCCTAGCTCACATTAGATCGCGCAATACCAACCTTACGCCCGCCAAGTAGTGATCGAATTAGATCAGAATTATGTAAACATGTCTACCTATGAAAAAACTATTTTTTCGTTTTAAACAAAACCAAAGACACTATGCAATAGATATTAGTATCAAAGACAAAGATATGCTCTTTTATTTTAAACCATAACCTGGCAATGTTTCTTAGAAAAAAAAAAAAGAAATCACTCTGAACTTTCGGCGTTCCACGTGCCGTTTTGATAAAGTTGCTCCGTCTTTTTTATAGAATTTTATATTTGTGTCTGGACTAAAAACGAAAGTATTATACTTTTTTATATTCCTTGTAATATAGTGAACACATATATATATAATTTGTGGTATAAAAAGTGAAAAGTAAATTGCCAAAAGTGCTTCAAAATCTGGAAGGCTAATTATGGTGGCTGGGTCATAAATGTGGTATTTTTCACATTCTCATTTATTTTTAGTGTAAAATGTAAGTAAAAATAGTTTTCTTACATATTTCAAATAACTTGACGTTGTATTTATTTCAAATTCACACAAAACTATTTTAGAAATATTGTTCTAAATGTCACACAGATAAAATATTAATATTTAATTTTTTTTAATTTCTTTATATTTTATATTTTGGTATGAGTAACGAATGGAAACACATAAAACATAAAAATATACATATTTCCAAACAATTTGATATAAATTTCTCCAAAAACAAAAGTGTAGAATTCAAATTAGTAGTAATTTTGTCACTAAAATTGAAGTACATACTACTACTGTGCTATACAGGGTAATTTACGTATTTTATTACAATTTCTAGCAACCAAAAATAATTTTATTCGATAGTTTATACATTCAACAAGAATTCCTGTAAGTTTTATCCATAAATATTGTCTCAAAGTGAAAATATAGCAAAATTTGCAATATAGCAAAAAATTTGCTAATTTTCAAATTTTGCCGCCATTACGGTCCCGAGCGAACGGGAGTATAACATGTCGCGCGCTGTCAGAGCTTACAGGTTTAAAATACCACACAAGCAACTCGTCGATGCAAATTAATGGCAATCGAAGTTAAATTAATCACTCAAACTCAAGGAAAGCCTCGTTGTCACGTATACGAACAAAATAAGATCACGCAAAAGGTGTGGTTTTAACGCGACCTAACCATTCTAACGTAACTTCCCGGCATCTAACCGACACGGCCGTCGCGGACAATAGATTATTCCAGACTAATTGGCAAAGGAATGCCCCTGGCCCAAACCGTCAAACCGGTTTATCGCCCGAGACGAGCGTTTTCGCAAGTTTTAAGTTGTTACGATTTGGCCTAAACAGTCGGACTTAATGCCTAAAGGCATTCTCTACCAGTCAACCCATTAAAATTTTTTGTAAATTATTTTCTGCTCATATGCAGTGCTGAACCTCTAATAAATGTGTTTTCTTTCTTCTTCCTTTCTTTGTTTATTTCTTTCATTCATTCAATAAGAACTACAGTGTAGCTCTACTGTCGATCAGAAACAGAAGAGAAAAAGACGCCTAGAGTCTAAGAGTGCCTAGGCTGTTTACTTAGATTGTCAAACCATTTTTTTTAATATCTATGTTAAGCTTTACATTTTCGTTTGACTGGTATCCATTTCAGGTAATCCTATTACTCCTACGGAAAAGAGGTCACACAATAAGATAATCACGAACGGATCTCTTCCTCGCAGTGTGGCCCACAACAATCCAAACATCATACAAACCAGTGAAGGATACTATAAGTAAGTTATTTCTTAAACTTTTTAGATTATACGGTTGTATGGCCGTATAGTTACTTAATAATGAGAGGCGGGTTGTGCCCAGCTGTGATACGCTTTAAGGTTTATTTTTACTTCGTCTTTGAAAATTGTGACTATAGTTACATCTTCACCGTCTTCCTTATCGTTACAATTATAATTCACTGATGAACGTTAACCTCTCCCATGGAAAGTACTTCCTTTCTGTGAGAGGCCATCGTCGACACGCTTGACAGGCGAATCGTCAAACATCACCGTGTTTTGCACCGGTGTGTTATACCCGTCATCTATAAGGCCACAAGATCTTTTTGACTTTCCCCGTAGATTCCCCTCTTACGACACCCTTGGGACGTTCGTAGGTTGCCTCATATGGGCAACACGTTTAGGCTATAGATTTAGCAAGCGCAGTTTTTTTTTTATTACTGAGTTACTATTAAAAAGATAGCGTTTAAGTCAATCTTAGTCTTCACGGGTCACAACACATCTGCAATTTGATTCGTGATCGAGGATTGATGTAGATGTCTATAGGCTGCAGCAACTACTTACCATCAGGTGGACTGTGTGCTCGTTTGACACCATTATCCGATAAAAAAATACCGCTGCTCATATCTTATTCAATTTCTCTCTTTCGCTTTTTACGACACCCGACATATATTTCCGTATATGTAGTAGTGTATGTTGTAGATTCTCTTATGCCGCCACTGCAATATATTTTACTGCCCATCATAATTTTCTGCCTTATATCGCCGGATTCTATTAAATAAAACTAATATTATCAATAATTTTCAGATTCGATACTAGTCACAATCGAAGTACACCTATGAATTCCTTGCAAAGGAATTTATCCAGCTACGAAAATTACGGTCTCCCCCAATCGCCAACTCAAATCGACCAATTAACGCCAGAGGTGACGATAAGCCAAAACTATGAAAACGTTGGACGCATGGACGAAATAGGTATACCCGTGTTCTCTGACGAGATGAGTGAAATATCTAGTCCTATCTTATTAAGGAAGGATGGCGATAGGGTGCATCTCTCGGCTTCCCCAATAGGCAGTCCTTACGAAAACGTTTACTACAAAAACAATGCCTACGGCAACTTCAAGCCAAAATCGCCCAACACGCAAAGCCCAAGAACGAGAATAAAGACCAGTCTCGCGCATAAGAATCTCACTTCGCCTCAGTATTTCATATTTCCCACACCTCCACCCAAGGACAATAATAAACAACCTGATTTCAGTCAAGAAGTCGCTCTTAGTCCTCAGAATAATACCGCTGTAGATAAAAATAACACAAAAGATCCAAATTGTGTAGGTATAGAGAAGCAATTAAGTCTAGAAGAAGAAATACCTATGATAGATGACGCTGATTTGACAAACGATTTAGAGTTCAGATATTCAAGAGATTTTACCGACAAACAGAAAGAACTAGAAGACAAATCTAATCAACAGAAAGAAGAATTAAAAGATTCCTCTCCAGTAGAAGTGGAAATACATGTTGAAAAAGTGCTGACGAAAAACCAAAGTTTCGACGACGTCAAAAAAGAATTAATGGCAGACATTCCCGAATTAGAAGAATTCGAAAAAGACTTAAAGAAGAACAAAAGAGAAAATATTATAAGGCATATACCGGAAGATATGAAGAAGATGGATCTAGAAGCAAGTTCCATTGACAGTGCTGTGTTAGATGATAACGTTGACGATTTGAAATCTAAATATGAGAGTTTGAAAGAAGAAAGGAAGAAGTTAGTCGCACAAATACATGAAATAAAATGTAAAATGTCCGAGATTCGGTCCCAAGAAGACGACATTTTACGAGAGGTAAGATATAGTTTTTTTAAAATAATTCTTTTCAAATGAGATGTTTTATATAATAATAATTTATGTTAAATAATGTTACGAGCTTAGGGTTCGTGACAATAAAAACTGCCGATTGAATTACCAAAATTGACACTTTAATTACTGAACACCAAAAACTTAAATCACACTTATAATTATTCACACTTAACACTTTAGTTCACTTTATTTCACTCCGACAGCTTCGCTCGTATCGCCAATTCAATACTTCCCCGATCGCGGCTTTCAACGCCTTTAAATAGGCCTTTTCCACTGAAGCATCTAGAATATTCCAGCAAATACCGGTCCCGACCGTCTAGGTGGAAATATTTCGAGTGTGTAGTTTTTCAGAAAGCTTAGTTCTTCTATTCGATACTAGATGACACTGGAGGTGGGAAAGTTCCAGCATGGCATTTTCTAGAAAGCTCTCCTCGCCATGTTCCCCGACACTAGATGGCGCTAGTGCCAGGTGCCAGACATCAACTTAGGCGCGCAACAATAATTAATTATGGTTCAAAATTATTTACAAATCAATAATTTTAGTCAATATTCAATATGGTGTCTCATCAATTTAGTTAAAAAAGAAAATGATATACAATAACAATGAAGTGATATTTCTGCTGTGAAGTGTCACATAGTTACTCCATTCATCCATTACATCCTATAAAAGTTCACTGCTGAACACGGGCCTTCCAAATAATGTCATAATACGAATTTATTTATTTATTATTCGGACAACAAAACAAATAACAATCAAGTTACATTTAAAAAAAACACTTATTTAACCAAATATTTTGCCATAGTTGCCTCGTTTGTCAGTAGGGTTAGCAGCCGCAGTACTTTATAATTTTAATTAATCAGGAGTATGCTGCTTCCCATCTATCGCCTCTTTCAACACCGACGGTAAACATAGAATACTATAATACACAATAGAATGGCTGTCAACCTTATTTTATACGACGATAGGCGTCGCCGGGAGCACACATACAAGCAGTTACGTCGCATCGTATCATCTGTTAATCACTACTACAAACCCGATTCGCTGTGTTGACAGACGGGTTTTAATACATATTTATTTGTAAATAGCGTGCAATTTCGCATTTTCTAAATAACTTGCATGCGAAATTTGGAAACGATTGTAACGTCAAAACACATCTCGTGTTGACATTTATACGTGTAAATTGACGTGTTAGTGGCATTTTAGTGGCTACGCGGGCTCCGATCACTCCCCTGTTCTATTATGTATGTATTATAATATTCTATGAGGGTAATAGATATTCTTACACCGCCACTATACGGTTATATAGTTGCCCAATAAATTGACTGACGTTGGATATGCTAACATTATATCCAACGTCATTAATCAAGTGATATATTAACGCCATGATGTTTTTTGTTGTGTATTGCAATTGTGTGTGTAAATTTTTACTTTGCACCAGCAAACAAAGCCATAATAAAATAGATAATTAATAAAGTTGTATGTGTGTTAAGTGATAACCTATTATTTAATGCACTGTATAAAGATCTCTTAAAATCCGGGCTCAGGCTAGTAGAGTAGTAGTAGTTAGTTAGTAGTAGTAGTAGTTTAGTAGCTCAGTAGCATGAAATTGTATATATTTTTGAATACGTGGTATCTCATATGTATAAGTAAATAAGCTTAAACTATAACACTTCCAGCCCTAGAGGTAGATGTGAGAATTTTACTTAAGTATATTATTTACTTTAAGCTACTACTACAAACTTTTTTCTTTTGTTTTTCTGGTTTTGAAGTCCAAAATTCTTGTTATCGTAGTTAGAGATGGAGAAGGCTCTTATCAAAGGTGAATACGACTCGGAGATAGCAATACTTAACATAGAGCAAAGGAAGAAGGCGGAGTTGACAGAAAACGCGCGGAAGATAGAAGAAGAAATCAAGCAGTTAAAAGAGAAACAAGAGATACGTCAGAACGAGATGAGAGATAGAGTCGAGATCGCTACCACAAAAGTGGAAAGGTTTGTTGTGTTTTTTTTTAATTTTTTCTAATCTAATTTTTTAAATCTCGTTATAGAGTTTAATGTCGTTGATTTTTGTTATGTATTTGTATTGACTTGTATTTTATACTGAATTGTATTTTAATAATAATAATAAGGCGGGTAATGAACTTAGTAACTTAGAACGAATTTAGTAAACCAGACATTTTTTTAAACTAATTCAGTATTTTGGCTGTTCTTTTTATGGGTAATTTTTGTTTATGTTTTTAATTTTATGATTTTTTTTCCTCTACAGGTTAGAAAAAGATCACAGAGAAAACGCGGCAACGCTAGAAGAACTTCAAAACGCGCAAGACATTTTGGATAATGAGACCAAGATTTTCGAGGACTTAGAGTTCCAGCATTTGGAAGAAGAGTCTGAGTTGTAAGTTGTTTGATTTAAAAATGTATCATTTTTCACTTTACGTTGAATGCTATTGATTTTTTTTTCTGAATACATATTTTAAAACTGCTGTCGTGTAAGTACTTACTTATCGCTGAGAAAAAAAAACAAGGTTAAAGGAAAATTATATAGAATTGCGTTACTTTCACGTATTTTTATGGAAAATGCTTGAAAATCGTTTTCGAATTTCATTTATTTTTAGTTTGAAAATTTTAGCTAAATTTCCAAATATGGGTGGACAACTTATTGCACACTACACTAATGATGCTTAACTCATCCAATACACTTATTCAATTCATTATTTTCAAAAAATGAAAATGTAATTTTAAATCTCTAATGTAAATTGTTTAAACCAAAAATTGTTATAAAATTTCTCAAAGGAGAAAACTCGGCACTATCTTATTCAACTTAAAATTTAAATTTACGTGTATGACTACAGCTACAATTGGCTAAACAAAAATAAAACCTGCGACACGACTAACAGACTCCTAAAAAAGTATTGTTATTGCAGATTGGCGAATAGAGAAGACATACAAAACGAGATCATCAACCTAACGAAGAAGATAGAAGCACAGAAGAGCAGAATACTAAACCTCAAGTCCGAAGCCAACAACAACTTGACCTCGGCGTTGGACGAAACGAAGGTACTCCAAGCGGAATACGTCAGATTACTGAACCAAGTTGAAGTCCTAACGGGAAAAGTACAAAACATCGAAAAGGAGCTGAAACCAATCGCCAACAAATTGAACGACGTCGAAAGAACCCAGTCGCCGGACAGCGCGTTCTACACAGACCAGACAAGAGCGAAGTCTGGAGAATTCGGTTATTCCCCGCAAAGTTCAGACAGTGATGACATAGATCTCAAAATGGCCAGCTTCGAAGACCACGCGAAACAGATCAAAGATAAATTCAACTCAATAGACCAAATGTCTCAATCCATGATCGTTGATATCGAGCGGAGGGTTGGTGAAGTCACTAATACCAACGAAATCGATAGCCGCCTAAGCGAAAGCCCGTCTAAGTCTTCTACTTCTTCTAAAGAGAAGAAAGGATTTTGGGAGAGGAATTTCGATTCACTAAAGCGAAAGAGCAAGGACAAGAAACAGAAGTCACCGGAGAAAGTCGATATCATGTCGCAAAGCCTAAACGAGAACATGTTCTATAATAGTGAGAACATCGAAGCGGACGTTTCGTTAGACAAATTCAACAGCCTGAGACATTCCAAGAAGCGGGAAAAGAAAGAGAACGGTCCGATGAAGAGTAACTCGTCGTCCAAAATCCCGACGTTCGCGGCGTTGGGTAAAATAATGAAGAAGGACTCCTTCGGTAGAAAATCACGTGAGAACAGCATAAAGAACGAAGAGAATGAGAAAGAGAACGTCAAAAACCGTTACGTGAAAAACGTAAGACCTGTCACAGGTGACAACAAATACGTCAAAGCGAAATCTCTATCTCCGGATAAGGTTAAAGATGATATAAAGGAAGAAACGGTAGATGATATCAAGAACGATTTAGCGAAGTCGGTGCACGTCAGTTTTGACACGACTCGAACAAACAAAGCCCCTGATACTGCAATATCGAAGAATCTGCACAGGAAGAGCTGTGGCGATGAGCCGAACAAAAATTCACTGGAATTCCAAAAGATGGCGGACACAGCGAAAATTCCGTCGCAAGACGACATTGATAGGATTTCGAAGGTGACCATCGACGCACCGATTCTGTCGAGCGACACTGACATGAACTCCTTGGGGAAGAGGACCCTGGACAGCCTGATGGAGATCGAAAGGAAACGTATGGAGATGTTGGAAGAACAAGGTATGTATTCTTTTTACAAGGTCTCTCCGCACTTGTAGCGATGGCGTAGCTTTTGATAAAAACCATAGAATACTATAATACATACACAATAGAACGGGGAAGTGGGCGGAGCCCGCGTAGCCATTAAAATGTCACTAATACGTCAATTCACACGTATAAATGTCAACACGATCAATCGTTTCCAATTTTCGTGTCAAGCGTCGCTGCATGCAAATTATTAAAAAAATGGCAAATTGTACAGTAATTTCGTGTCGAAAGAACAGCGGGAAATGGAATTTAAATAAAGGAGACATATTCTACAACCAGTAAGTCGAAACTATTTATATTATGTGAATATTAGAAACAAAAATAAAGAAACATGTATGTGTCAAAAACATTAATCAAAAGTCTAAAATGTGTTTGTAGTAGTGATAACTGATAATACAACGTAATTGCTTGTATGTGTGCTCGCGGCGACGCCAATCCTCCCACAAAGTAAGGTTGACAGCCATTCTATTGTGTATTATAGTATTCTATGATACGAATAGTGCTTTGTAAAAGCCTGTTTTGTATAAAAAAAAGTCTGACGTTGACATTATTAAAAAAATCTAAAAAAGCAAAGGCCTATATTCTTCCTACTACTGAATACGTACTTCTTATTTTCTAGGGTTATAAAGCTGGGAAAATGATTTTTAATATTTTTTTTTACACTTATAAGCCAAGCCTATGCTCGCCTGTCCCAGCGGATGGTAAGTGGCGATGCAGCCGAAGATTGTAAACCGCACTGACTTAACTTAGCAAAAGCCTATTCAATCTAGCCTTGAAAAATTTGGGCTGTGTGCTTGTTTGTCACCCTTACTTCTTTATCAATAAAGGCGTGAATTTCTTGGGATGGATAAACGGAATAACCCAGTGATTTTCTCATGGATCCCCTCATCAGATCTTGTTAAATTTATATGAGCCCATCCCTGGTGTACTTCTCTTCTATTAAAAAAAATGAAATCCGACAATGTGGTAAAAAAATGTGATCATACATAATTGTCATATACCTTCGGAAACCTCCTTAAGGCAATTTAAGCCGAGTACTGGACACTATAATCTAAGAAATACATTTTGACAGCTGTCAGACTTGTTGCAACAAGCATGCTAACCAAAAAATGGGAACGTACAATATTCGATTGTTGAAAAAATCGATATCGATTATTTAGAGTTGGTAATCATTTACAATTTGGTTTGAATAGTACCAGAATACATTTAAGATAGATAATTAAAAACACAAGATTTATCAGTTACTTCGTATTTGCTGTTCCTGTTTATTTCTAGAGGCACAATTATAAAAATTTAAGATTGAAATTTTATTTTTTATTTTAACTTTAATTTATTTATTAGTTTTACCAGTAATTGTAACAATAATACATCAATGAGTATTTAACAATAACATGTACAGCCAAATGCACAATTAATTAAGGTAAACACCACATGCACAAAATATTAAGGGTAGTAACATCCAATATTTATAAGTTTAAATTTACTGTGTTCACAATAAATGAGAAAAAGAAAAAAAGAAAAAAAAAAACCGTAACAGTTTAGAAATCTGCTTGCTCTAGGGACAAATGAACTTGAACCCAAAACTGTTGTGCGCAATGGTGGAACTAATGGTGATATTTTAGTCCTAGGTAATTTGTGTGGTACATTGAATCTAAATTTTCTCAGTAGGCCTGGGCAATCTATTTTAAATTAGATTAAAAATAAATTTATTCAATCACTTTCGGTACAACTAGTTAAGCTGTCGTTGTTTAGATTAATTATTATTTGATTTTCAATAATGCAGTCAAAATTAATGTCTCTTTCAAAGTCATCCATAATCAATTTTGTTTGTTTTATCTACCACTTTTGCCCAATCATCCTTTGTGACATGGGCACATGCTTCAACGAATATAGAAGAAACAGTTCAAAAAGTTAAAGCTGATTCATAAAATAGGAAGACAAATACAAAATCACAAAATTACCCACAAAAAGTAAGCTCCAGAAAAGGCGGGAGATTAAAATTACGTAATTGTTTTTTTCAGCGCGGTTTTTTGCCTACACAAATTCACTTTGACATAGTAAAAAAATAAACTTGTTTTATTCATGATTCATGTTATTGAAGGAATTTTAAAAATAAAAATTTAGTTAAAGAAATAAAACATTAAAAAAATTAATGATTCGATTATTTGAATATTTTACCGATTATTTGAAATTTGTCGATTATTCGCATAACAATGCATTTTTATCATCCAAACACTACGGCAAGGTACCTAGCGACATATCATTGAAACGACGACCAGTAAAAAAAGTTGATACTGGTTACTTTATAAATATTTTGCTTTCTTTGAAAGATTCGAATTTAAATTAGGGATGAAAAACTATACACGTTGTAACGAAATATAGATAATTTCATAATTTTTCGGATTTACGTTAAAGGTTATTTTACATCGTTTGAGTACGCTTGTGCAAAGATATTGTGGAATGAATAATGTGAAACGTCAAAAGGTATTTCTTAGATTTGGTTGACTATAGTCCTTATCAAAAATGCTATGGTTCCCGTTAAGTGCATTTTTTTTGTTAATACAGTAAATAAACGTATAGAAATAACTTTATTTGTTGAAACTGGACCATTCTTTTTAATTTTGTTTAAATAATTTATTATTTGTAAATTAGTGTATATACCTAGGAGTAAGAGAATTGTGAAAGACAAGAGTATATACTCATATAGTCCAATATGCTGGACAGGTAGGTAGGTTGGTCCGCCCAAACCGATATTGTCCCTCTAATGATGCTTCCAGTCCAATCCGTGGTATTTGACATTTCCGTTTGTCGCAGTGCCTTACTTTAAATAACGAGTTGATCTTGTCTAGAATCTATCTAACATCCCTCCTTTTCCCAGGATGCCAAGTGATAGAGAACGAACGCGAGAAGATATCAGAGCTGAAGCGGCGTGCGCAAGACGAAACGAAGAAGCTTTGGGATCAGAAGAACCGAATGGAGCAAGCCAAGTCGGTCGACAGCGACACCTACCAGGTGTCAGGCGATTATAACAACTCCAACGTCGCCGAGAACGTTGACAAGCCAAGTGACAGAACGTACGGGAACATGGTCGACGATAGTATGGCGGATGACGCGTTCAATCTGACCAGCTCGACGATTTACGAGGAGAGGTAGGGTGATTTTATTTTTTACTCTAATGCCTGAGTAATAAGAATAAAAAATATTTTTAGGGTGTACGTATGCTGATTGTCAATTGTAGTTTATCGGCCAAATTGGCGATATTTTGAAATGGGCCACATTAAAAAATGACCTTAACCGACGAGCATGTATGCGTAGATATACGGATGTAAAGGAGGCGAAAGAGGTATGTCAGGATCGTGCCTAATGGAAGTCCGTAGTCTCTGCCTACCCCTCTGGGTGACAGGCGTGAGTGTTTATGTTATGTTTATGATTGTCAATATAAAATATTATTTGTTTTTATCTCCGGTGTTATAGGATATTTTACCATTACCATTACAATCTATCAAAAGTCCAGTGCTGAACATAGGCCTGCCAAGTTACCCCATAGGGAAATATTTGCCATAGTTGCCACGCTTGCCAAGCGGGTTGGCGATTGCAGATTTTTATTACTTGTTGTTAGAAAGTGTTCATTTCTCTCTCTCGCCTCCTCAGATCCTCACGGGATGATCGATATTGGGTTCTCATATGCCGGCATTACGCAGCGGTACTTCTATGATAATTAGTAAACGTCCAGTGGTCGAAGTTGAACCGCGTTATGTTTTTAAGTTTGTAAATTAAACAAGCTATATTTCACTTTTAAATGCAAATTGAGACGTAAAACACAGATATCTCAAATACAAAACTTAAAATAAACACATTTTTGACATACACTCTACAGACGATTGAAAAAGGAAAATTTGAATATTTGTACATCTAACTTAAAGTCTGGTCTCGAACTATCTAACATAAAATCTTATTCTATTACTCTGTCAGTAATTCCGTTAGCGGCATTTTAAATTTTTTTGGCGACAATTCCTACTCTGTGTGACTGTTTAATCACAGACTGTTAAGTGTTTGTCTTTAGAGCTTTATCATACATAATTCGTCCAAGCGACAATTATGTGTTTGTCATTATCAGTACAGACTTAAACAATGTATCTTTTATATTATTTTATTTAATATATCTGTAATTTCTTCGCCATATAATCTTTAGCTATATCCAATTTCACACTCCTCCGTAGTATGCTTAAAAAGGGATATAAAATTTTCCCTTCACGTCTTAATACATAAATAATAAGAACTGCCAGTCGAGAACATTTTTTCCCCATTGGTTATCGGTTCTTCGAGCTGTGGCTATTGGGTTATGTCAGTTACTCTGGCTCTGGTTCTGCTGCAGATATCCTCATTCCTAAGATCCTAAGTACCGGCATTTGAAGTCGAAGTGTAGGCATTTGAACCGACAGATTGAAGGCGAAGTGTAGGGCGTCCCCCACTAAATGGAGTGTCGATCTGGTAACACATACAGGAAGCCGGTAGATGCAGGTGGCTCAAGACCGTGCTTTGTAGCGTTCTTTGGGGGAGGCCTATGTTCAGCAGTGGACTTGTAAAGGGCTGTAATGATGATGATGAATAGGAACTTAATTTTTAATGTTTTATCGTAAACAGAAATTTTACTGCCATTGTAGTAACTTTTATCTGCAGGTTTTCAATTGCCAAGTGTCCGTTTGTTAATTCTAACATCCTAAAATAGTTTTAATCAGAATTAAATTTCTAGTCTAAGTTCTGCTTACCGCAAACTATTAATTCACAATGAATCAACCGGTTCCGCAATCATCCACTGATAAGATATCGCTCAGTTCGTTTGCGTATGTCGTCGACGCAACCCGTCGCTGTCGTCGCGTTTATAACAATTGGGTATTTGATACCAACCTAAATAGATTACTATATAATTTACATATTTACTTAGAAGTAGCAAATTACTTTTTATTGTACCCTAAAATTTGACCGTTAATCCATCGTATTTAAATTAGATTTTTAGTATTTAAATATTTACAATTAAGTTAGTCATATATAAAATTGCAGTGTGCGTGTGTTCGTTATACTTCTTCTAAACTACTTGATCGATTATGGTATTTTTTTATGGGATAACCTGGATGGTTCTTAAGTGTAGTTAAACCAGGTAGGTGGCGCTATTGTCGAGATATACGGGTAAACCAAAACGTAATTATACTAAATGCTCATATAATTTCTATAGAAATATTTATTTTGATAATTCTTAAAAAGTGTTTGAATTGACTTGTGTCGAATACCCAATTGTATCATCTATATTATTCTGTGTTGTGTAAAGATTTGTGTAAACACACGTAATTTAGAAATGTTTGTGTAAATTATTTTGTAAAACTTCCGGTACATTTATCGTCGTGACAGAATTTCTCTGCTCCAAAAAACCCTCTTAAAAATGACGGATGTCTCGTGGCTGTGGAACGTAAAAAACCTGTAAATTCGCTTTATGTAAATGACATCACAATTTCTTTTAAAACTTTACTCTTACACTACTGTTCTTTCATTATTGTGGAGGCGATTTTTATATATATATATATATATATATATATATATATATATATATATATATATATATATATATATATATATATATATATATATATATATATATATGTGTGTGATTCTCGAACTCCGCAGCGCTCCGTTAGTTCCATACAGTCAAATAGATATATTATTTGTATAATATGCTTAAATATTAAAATTGAATTAATATTTAAAACGTAGTGTTTAAAAACTTGGTCTCTTTATCCGACTGCCCCTTAAGAAGAATAATATTTTTCAAGAATATATTTATATGTATTATTTCTTTGGCACGCTATGTAGCCTTAAACGGCTAGATGAATTTTAAAATATAATTCGTCTTATTTATGGATGTAAAATAGGATATAAATTTTCCCTCTTTACAGTGATGATTACAATGATGCAGTATTTTATTAACGATAGTGTAATCTACCTCATCCTCGACATTGCTTTGTAATCGTTAAATTATTTCGTCATTCTTTAAATGATTGATTATTTATTAGAGATTCATTCGATTCAATTGTTTCATTGTTTACTCGTTAAAGCTATTGTTTGTTGGATATTGTTTAAAGAGCGAGATGGTATCGAATCAAATTGACAGTATATAGCGATAGATTCAATAGAAGATATTAACGACTGCGGTGGCTTGATCCGGTAAGGACAGAATCACAGAATACCAGCGTAATATACCAGCTTAATGCAATGCATTTCGAATGGCTAGGGTAAAGAACCGGTATCCTAATTGTACTGGAAACGGGGATTTCCATCTGAAAACTTAGGAACAACGGATCTGCATTTTGCATTCTGAATGGATGATTGATGTACATATTATGCAATTTTTATACGTGGTAGAGCCATGTTGCAGTTACTCGTATATTAGTAGTATAGTTGTATCACGAATGAGTCGGATCAACAGGGGAAGGACCATGCTTTCACAGAATACCAGCGTAAGTTAGTAGCTTAATGTAGCTGTGTTTCGTATGCTGAGTGTAGAAAATCGGAGACCGTTTTTATTGGAAATGAAGGCATTCCATCTTAGTCTTCACGGGTGACAACGCATCTGCATTTTGATATTCGTGGATAGATGTAGATATCTATGGGCCACAGCAACTACGTACCATCAGGTGGATTGTGTCGTATGTCACCCACACATCTATAAAAAAATGTAACGTTTTTTGTTTCAAACATACTGAGGAATTATATCTGGTTCACTTTCAACTGCTCACCTCAAGCCTACCTAAAACCTCATCACCATCACCTTAACTTCATCACCAGGTGTGATTTGAATCAAGCATTGCCTTAAAAAAACCGCTAACTTTTTGCAACCTTCGATCACTCCTGTCCCCATATCACTGTTTAACCCTAATCAGGTCAAACAATGTCATCGAAACATTATCATAAACAAATATCATAACCTACAAGCAAATTTGCGTCATATTCGCAAGACGTTAAGAAAGTCAATCGCTAATTCCGACGGTGACATCGTTCTATTGACCGAAGACGGTCCACGACGAAAGCCATCAACGAATATGAATCAATTATGGCGCGTTCATTTGGAGCCGGCCTTATGTAGAAATATGTATAGGGTGTTCTATTTTAAACATAATTTTATTTTTTACTAGCTGGTACCCTGCGCGTTACTGCCGCAGAAGAAATAATTGTTTATTAGGAATGATAGAAACCTTAATCCAGGCTATTGATTGTAAATTCGTTTCAGAAGCCATGGGATTAAGCAAAAATAAATTGCGCATTCTGGCAAGAGCCCTAACTGGACACTGTTGTTTTAAAAAGCACATGTGTCCATCCTGGGACAAGCAACTCAAGGATGTGTCGGTTCTGTTCTTTAACGGAAGAAACGCCTCTACACATCCTAACTGATTGCGGACCCTTAATGCGAAAACGCAACAATTATCTCCGAAACTATGTACTCCGCCCAGAAGAAGTGAAATTGCTCACAGCTAAGCAACTCTACTACTACTCTACTAACTCTAATACTAACTATTCGTTGAATACGTAGGGCTTAACAGTGAACTATAGCCATAGCAGCGATAACAATAGATCTTTTAGTTCGCAGTGATACCGGTCTCTTTTCCTAGACCCGCGTAGCGTAATAGGAATGATAATCCATGCATTGAAATTAAATGGTCTATAAGTTTCAAATAAATTTATGCTTATGATACCCGCACCCTCCACTGTAACTAAATAGTACTTACTATGCCTATAACCTTCGCGCAAGTGCAAGCAACAAGTTAAAGTTATAGCGCAAAGGCTTATGAATGGTATGTCTGCGTATAAAATCCAAACAAACAAACATTGAATTTTATATATTACATAATGTCTTAAATATGCTCCGTGGCGACTACTGCACGAAAAACTTTTTTATAATGAAATAAAAAAATAATTTGTTTTCGCTAAATACTCACACGCGCACAACGGGTGCGTTTGGCAGAAAAAAGCGCTAGCAAGCGCTTATAAGCGCTGAAATAGTTTTCGGAGACAGATTGCTACTTCAGTAGACACAATCATTCTAATTTGTTTGTTGACAAAGTATTTTGTGCAATATTAGTTTTAAGTAATATAATGACAT